TACTGTAAACCATCTTGCTCTGTATCGTTTTCCACTATTATATAGTAATTACTTTCATTGGTTTCAGTGAGAACCGTGCATTAGCAAGAATGCCGTGGAGAATTTACCGGGACGATTTTAGAGTGATTGGCGAGGAGGAATTCCGTTCTATGGTAAGTCACACTAATATTCAGGATCATTTAGCGCAGGGGCATAGTCGATTACTGAGAAACAGGATAGTGTACCACAATAACAGGTGACTACTGGATGTAGGTGTTGAGAACAGCAAAATCAGATAGTCACTGAAAGACTCAATGACACATTATTGTTCATCGATCGATTGTTTCAGCTATCGATTGGATCGACGTCAACAAAGCTGTCGAATTCGACGTCATTCGCCAAGCACCATGCCGTGCTTGGTACAAACACTCATGCCTCATTTCATGTCTATCCCCAGCGACGTCCAATCACTTTCAACCGCGTTGACATGCAGTTGTTGACATTGGTACGGTAATTCACCGTAATCTATGACACTCTGAAGCTGCAATAACCAACGTGATGCTTTCAGATGAAGCAGTCAATCCATGACAACCTTGAATCCATTCCTTGGCATGTCGTTCAACGAGAAAGAGGAAATGGTACTGCTATGGAAATACTGCTCCCGTGGTACTGTGCAGGTACAGTTTGGTACTTCTGCTGAAACTCTCATATGAGGGGTTGCTCTACCTGTCAAGAAATGAAGTGAACCTTATTTAGGATATCATATACAACAAAGAGATGGTACTGGATGCAAAATTCCACGGCGCCTTCATCAGAGACATCACCTTGGTAAGGAGAATTATCGCGAAAGTCAACCAATTTCTTTTGAAACTTTTGGTGAATACTTCATTCAAGGAACAATGTTGCAGGGTTTGGAATATCTTCACTCGTCTCCTATCGGCTTCCACGGTTCACTTACCCCATGGGCTTGTCTCATCGATCGGAACTGGATGGTTAAACTGACAGACTTCGGTAAGTATCTTGAAATTAGCGTTAGTCACCTATTGACAGAGGCAAGCCTGACTTCTCCATCACCGTACGATTAGGGTGGGCCGCCTTGGGTGTGTTTATTCGTTTGTATTCAATGTTAATGAAGACAATATTTCCCAGGAATCGCTGATTCATTGGAACGATGGGAAAAACAGGGCCTTATTGCAACGGAAACATTGAAAGAAGGTGATGACGAAGGGAAGAGCGGTTCACTTCAGAAAACAAGTGAGTTTCAGCTTTTTTAACATCTCAGCTCATACTTTCGAGCGTAAGTTCGCCAAATCTCCACGGATTCCTGCGGCCATGTTACTGTACACATACCGTACGCGGACGTACTGTGCTGTGATGAATACTTGGCGCTTCAGCAAACGTTACGAATGAAAATTTGGCACTGCTCTTTTATAAAGACAGTCCGACGGCACAGATTTCTTCGATTTTACTAGTTGAAAAAGACAAGACGATGTCGGCGAGCTGAAATGTGCAGGGACGGATCAAGCTCGTCATATGTTTGCAGTCAATTAGGAATACTTCATCAGTTTACCGCTGAATTGTCACCTATGGCGCTGGCCCCATTTTAGCAATAACCAGATTCAGTGCCACTTTTCTTTTTGAGTGTATAAACTTACCAGTCCTATCATTAGATGTGAAGTACTTTGTACCTTCCCAAGTGCGTAAATGTGCTTTTCCTTCGTATGGTTGGATACCGTAGTGATAGCTTCCACCAGAGCGGCATAGCACTTTAGGCACGCAATAGTGCTCCCTGCTTGCTACTGTATGCTGTTAAAAATGTGACATATGGGTTGAGCCGTTCGGATCCTCCTTTGAAATGCCCCAAAAATTCTGTAAACCGCACGGGGTACCAAACAAAATTGCCGGTAGCTAAAGTGCAACCTTATCACAGTGCCTGAGCGACGAGCTTGCGAAGGGGCATTGCATGTAACTTTTGATCTGGTATTAAGATTTGCGAACTAGAGAAAAAGCATCATGAACCAGAACGTCAATGCTAAGACAAGAGGTCGTTTTCTATTCAAATATAGAAACAGGAAAGTTAAGATGATTGCAAGAAGCTATAACTGTACAGTAAAACATGGCAGCCGAGTCATTTTTGTTGTCGAAATAGCCCTTTTTCAGATACTTATATCGAATCACCCGATGGCCTTGGAAAATCGCGAAGAGAATCATTCTTGACGAGCTGACCAGGTACGTGTGAGGTGACCGTCATTAAGAATAGTAGCATGAACCTCAACGCTTGTTCTGTGTCCTTACGTGGAATTGGTACGAAATCCAATCAGATCACAAATTCCAGTCCTGGCTAAAGCAATCTCAAGCAAGACGTCAAATGGGTGACATTTATGCGTTTGGTATGGTAATGTATGAGATCCTGTTCCGCGCATTACCGCTCCCAAGCCAATGCTAGCATATTGACGGCGAAAAATTAAATAGACCGGAATGCCATTAGTGGAGTCAATCCACTATCACTTTTCAGACAATCCTCGTTACATCCGTCTGGGCAAACGAACGTGATTCGCCGACAATTCAGGATAACGGAAATCTCCTGAACTGACCGCCATTGTTGCTCGACTGACGTTGCATTGATGACCGTGAACTCGGCGACACGTCGAATTCGACGAGTTCGACTGATACTGAGTGCTGTCTGAAAGTGTAAGTTACTCAATCAACGAGTTGGTTCCCGTTGACATTCCCCGCGCGCCCTCTCAAACATGATCCGATTTTCAACAGTTCTTCATGATAAGTTTTCAAATAGGGCGTCATTGTTGGTAGCATGGGATTGCATTGGGGTTGTTAACATCCAGTCAATTTTCGATCATTGAAGAAGAAACGAAAGACTTTAGTTGCCCCCTTGTAGGCTGCACCACGTGATTCCTTCCTATTTGAAAATCGCGGTGACATTCAAATGTGTATCCCTCCGATACCAACATTGTTCTGCGTTTAGTACCCCGAAAGGCTCAATATTTCTGGAATAATTTTTTCAGGAGGGGCTCTCTTGTCGACCAAATGATGCACATGATGGAGCAGGTACGTTCAAGAATCAGTGACAAGTGTTTTCCTCAAGCGGGCTCGGACAGGCTTGAGTTGCTGGCACGATTGAGCAGGGCATATATTTCTCAGTTTTTCCATGTCCGCAGTTCTCTTGGGGCTATTAAGTGAACAATTGCATCGCTGATGAAGTATCACAGTTTTTTTACAGTATGCCAATAATCTCGAGAAACTCGTCCAAGAACGTACTGGTATGCTGGAGGATGCGAATGCACGAGCCGATAAACTTCTCTCTCAACTTCTTCCAAAGTAAGATTTTACATAAGACCTAGTATAGAAGCAAAAGGTGCCAACTCTCGAGGTTTTTGATTGGGCAAGGGGACCTCTTAACGGGGATGACGAGGTACTAACAGGAGTGATCGCGCAAAAGAGGTCATCTCATGAGAGAATAACTTGACACCTTTCAGATATGTTGCAAACGAATTGAAACTTGGCCGACCAGTGCCTCCGAAAATGTTCCAATCGGCCACCGTATTCTTCAGGTAACAACCTTTTACTCAGGAAATTTTTGACAAAATGCAACATTAACGATGGCTGAGTAAGATCCTATTGTACGAGAAGTATAGCTCATTATTGTCAGTCATCACGAACATTTTTCAAATATCATACTTTTCAGTGATATTGTTGGATTTACCACAATATGCGGCTCATCTACACCTTAGAAGTGGTCAACATGTTGAATGGAATCTACACGAAATTCGATGATATCATCAACAAACATCACTCGTACAAGGTGAGTTTCAAGTTAAAAACTGACGAGAACTGAGCTGCAGAAATGACAACTCGTCCTCACTGCGCCTGTAGTCTGCCCACCTTCCATTTATCCCAATTCTTCATAGCTCAGCAGAGGAGGTCATCCTCGCATTTTTCAAGAACGTTAGGGTCGGTTTTCGAGTTCGCAGCGGGGAAGCGTAGTGCCTACAACCCTCTGAAAATGACAAAGTCAACTCGTCAAGGATTACGGATTTTTTATTTCGTTCAAGACGGCTGACAGACAGGCTCTTTTTTCTTCCCCTCCTTCTCTTTGCTGATGACCATTAAAGTTTCCCTCAAGTGAATACAGCTCGAGTTTAGGTGGAGACAATCGGTGATGCGTACATGGTTGTATCCGGAATCCCAGAAGAAAACGGTACCAGACATATCATGCACATCTCCGACATCGCTCTAGAGAATCATGGAGGTAGGTATTACCATACATTCTTGAGCTCACAGCTTGCCTTTGTTTATGGACGTATGCAGCAAACCATTGTGCCTTTCTTGTGCGCGTCCCCCTTTTCCTTAAATGATGAGTGCACCACTATTGAGAACACATTGCAAATAGTTGACTATCTTTGCACATTTCTCCTTGCGCGATCGACGTAGACTGTCTTTTTTGCTTGCTATGTTAATCTTATGTAAAACAGAAAACGCCATACGACAGCCCAGCATCATTTAAAGAGTCCATCTGTAGTTAAAACAAAACAATTTTCAGATACTCAAAACGTACGAGATCCCACATCGTCGTACAACCCGACTACGTCTCCGTATTGGTTACCACTGCGGCTCTGTGGCGGCTGGTGTCATCGGTCTAGCGACTCCCAGATACTGTCTATTTGGTGATACGGTAAGGGTGATAGTTGTGGGATTGGATGAAACTATCATGATAGCTATATTGTGTAGTGCAAAGCAGATTGGTTAACTCGACAACTTTTACACTACACTCCTCAATTTCAGGTTAATATGGCATCCAGAATGGAATCAACAAGCGAACCGGAGAAGATCCAAATGTCAGAAAGTGCCCATGACATGCTTGCCAAGTTCTACCCAGAATATAAAACTGAGCTGAGAGGAACAGTTGATGTGAAGGTTCGTTTTCTGTGTGCCTTTAAGCGCCGTCCTGCTGTTTTTTTTCGGCTGTTTAGACATGGCAGGACTGCTAAGACACCCCGGACTTTCCCAAGCATCCTCTCGAGGCCAAAGTATGCCTTCTGCATTTCCTAGCGTTCGAGTGTACTGTGAACAGAGGATTGACTGATTAAGGTTGCATTTGTGTGGTGGATTCTTAGGTCTGGATTAACTATCCCCATAGTTCTCTGTATGAAGTTCATGACCGTGACTGTGGTTCTTGTACGAGCCAAGTCTTGCTTCTTAGGAAAGCCTTAGACCTCCAGTTTTGCTTAGGGTAATGTTGGTTGGACCATTAATTCCTGTTGAATGAAGTGTTTCGTTTTCAGGGCAAGGGAACGTGCACTACGTACTGGCTGCTTGGTAGAGAAATGCACAGCAGCCCGAGAGAGGACGAGGGTCAGCGACGTGCAACTATGGCAAGTCTTGGGATGTGAAAATGGTTGTTGTGTTCTTTAGTGTTCACTGGTCTCAAGAGGGATGGCTACAAATCCACACCGTGAAGACGGAGACCAGTCACTAATAACACCTTGCCCGCCTACTAATATATTACCCCGTGTTCAAACATGCGCTGAGAACTAGCTATCGGGTAGGCGTGAAGCAGCCTTAGAGTGGCATTCTGATTTTGGACTGAATTTTCACAGAAATATTGGTCTTCTGCTCAAAACGCCGAACTTTCTGAATGTGTCGAGTCTATAGTGGATGGCAACTTCACTGATTTCTAAGATTAAAGTGTAGCTGTAGATAGAGATCTGAAAAAGATGTGATTTCACTCGAAATCCATTCTTCCGAATAATAATTATGTGTGATCGGTTGGTTATGTGCTTTAGTGCCAATTTGATTAACTGTTGTTTACGAAATTTACCATAATAAAATGTTTTTAAAAGAAATTGTGGATTACGTTACGAGATCGTCTCTCTTAACTTCAGTTCTACTTTTATTTCGTATTCGGGGGGTTTCTCCCAGAAATTTTCAGGTGCTTTTACAGTCTCTTTGAGCTGGCCAGCTTGTTTCTGTACTTACCTCGCTAGTAATCCCTAACATCGCCTACCACTTTGTCTCCCTACCCTCGTGAAGGCCTACTGTCTTGTGAAGAACAAGCGGAAGAACTTTCACGAATGTTTTCGAGCAATGCCCTTTGCGTTCCGAGTATTTTGCAGAAGTTGCTGTCTTAATGTTGCTTTAAACCACAGCACGCGATTGCCTGAAATTTAGCTCTATTCCTCCCAGAAGTGGAGAGAGTAGACACGGGGAAGATACTCGACTTTAGCACTCGTGATCCCTTTTTCGGCCTCGGAGTTCTGGTGATTTGCCCCCTTTCTATTGGCTGCAGACACGGCGACACCAGTATGAAGTCGATGCAGTCAGCGCAAGTTTGGATGTTAGGTTTTCACATAGTGGCTCATGTGGTCACTGATAAAACGACCATCTTCCTCTCTTTATACTTTCTTCCTTCTTGCTTTTTCCTACTTTCATTGTTTTACCAGTCGTCAGATAGTTTCATACATTGCACACCTTCCGCTCTGATCCGCTCCTCTCCAGAGGTTCCCTCAACGTTTCAGATGTTCCTTCGTCATCGCTCTGTACTCTCTCAAGGATCGTGTCGTTTCTGGTGCTCTCAAGGACTAGTCAAGATCGGCTTTTCAGGGCAAATTACTCAGTCGCGTAGCAATGAATATTGTCCTCAACAGAGGTGAGGGAGAATATTCCGCAAAGATCCTGTGTCTGGTTGAGGTTGTTGCCAGGAGAACATGGACGATTCCATGTGCTTCAGCTGTGTTTGGATTCGGGTTCCTCGCCGCGGGTGAGTTCAGCCATTGGAAGGGTTCAAGGTTCAATTCTCAGTGATTATCCTAGCATCACTGGCAATGTTGGCACGGCAATGTTAGACGCTCGCGCAGAGTACCTGCAGCATCACAGGTGGAGGATTTCTTCAGCGGGTTGATCCTCTTTATCAGGTGGTTGAAAATTTCGCTTCTTCTTATGTCAAGCTTAGCTTACTATTTCAACTGAACCTCATTCTTCAAAATACTGTAATGCTATGAGCTTCAGGCGGTCTCTTAATTTCATGAACAGTAATGAGGCGGAATGCTTGCCGAATATGCTCAAACAGATACAAGAAGCTAACTTCAGTATTACCGCCACGGTACCGTAACCCAAAGCGGCGCCCAGTTGATTGTAATTCCGCAGCGGACCTACGTATAACACCGTACTTTACGCCAGTACCACTGAGAATTGTGCTGAAATACTTGCATATAATGCATTGTTCAAGGATGGACGGGAACTTCGTGCACATTCCACTTGAGCTTTCTTTCGTCTCGACGGGTTCTACATTTTGGGCATATGCGCAGCGTCACGTACATTTATAACAGCTTATTACAGTTACAACGCTTATTTGTATCTATCCGCACGAGAATATTTACGGAATAATAACGAGTTGAAGTTACTTTTCTTCAAGTTTGGCACTATTCAGCTTACTAGTGACATCAAACAGTCCCAACGAAATTTGGTTGATCGGAAAGTTCGAGCAATGCGGTGTAATTCCATGCCTACTATCATAAATACGACAGTACTTTTTGACTGGCGCCGCTGAACGCCCGTTTGGCGCTACCACTTTTCTCCCAAAAATCGATGTAAACTTGCACACTGGAGTTACTCGTCCTTGATCACGAAAGTGATATTATTTCTAGGCCCTGGCACCGAGCTTTTCCGAAAACAGTCGCCGGCGCTGCTCTGAGGTATGAGCCGCGGCCATCTTCCGGCGTTGACATCCTGTCAAAAAGCCGGTTCAAGACTACCCCAAGGAGAAGTGTTTAGCGTATTCGGTGGTCTGGAGCACTTGGTGTGGGTGCCTGTGGCGGACAGACAGTTTCAGGCCAAGCGGATGTAATATTCGTATTCAGGAGGTCGAGCTGCCCCTAGCACCGAGTTTTCAACAAAATATGTCACCTTATAGAAAAGTCGGTCAAAAACAGGCCTGTCTTAGGGAAGTCGCATGTTCGACTTTCTTGCAATCTTGGCATCATGATATTCGATGTATTTGTCTTCGAGGGTCCTTGCCAAGACTGAAATACGTTTATTACGTCCAACGATTCCGCGGCATTGCCTTTGGTCAGAGCCTGAAATGGATAAACCATACAAAAGCGCGCGCTCAAAGCGCCTAAACCATCCAAGACCAATTCACTTACCAATAAATACAACCCAATGTATCGATCGACAATGTTGTGGCTCACCTCGACCTCAGACGCTGCAGTGCGTGCTCGACCACCCTGAGGTGCTGACAGATTCATGCCTCGTAAGGGCACAAACACTAAATTGTTTCACCCTGATGGGCAGGTTAAATAGTTTAGTGCTGGCGCTTGGCAATAGAGTTGGTGATCGTAAACAACGTAGTGTTGCTGCTGTCATGGGGGGGGGGACGAATCTACAAGCAGTTGAGTGTTTATCTAGTATCAGATAAATGGTTTTAGTTGACATATCGTTAATCTGATGCCAGATTAAGAGCAAGTAAGTAATAAGCAGTGGAAAGTGGGGGAGGGCTGGAGGGTCGTATTTAGTAGTAATTTATGCCCTGCCTTAGCTGCTTGTTACTGTTCACCAGGAAGACTGATCTGTCAATTACAAGTGCGCAATCATTTCTTTTGTTGTGTAGCTCCTGTATGTACAGGGGGGAGGCAAAAAAGTCACTTCGGCCGAGTCACATACCAGCGAAGTTTTCGCACAGGGTACAGCATCGTTGCGGGCGAACCCAAGGCGGGGGGGCGGTGGTCGTAGCTGGCCGCTGGGTGAAGGGAGAGGGTCGTAATCTCAAGGGTCACCCAGAGCCGGACAATGCTTCGACATTACAGTTCATAGTGGGTGGAGCTATGGAAGTCAAGATGTTGAAAAAATAAAAATTATTATGAATGTATACTTCACAGATTTAACTGCTCTTTAACATCCCGCTTTTCACGCTAAATCCCCAAAAATGTGTACGTTACTTGGCCGCGGGGGACGTGGGGAATATCACGAAAAGTAGGCTCGCTAGGCATCAAACAGTACAAAAGTGTCATTGCTAAGTGTGAGGATTGGAACAGCAGGAGACAGAGGCCGACGGGATGTCATAGGACTACAAAAATAATAATAAATTTATCAGCATATAGCAAGAATAGCAAAATAAAGTAATAATAAATAACTAAAATTTGAATATCGGTGTAATAGCATGGAACGCGCCTAAGGTTGGTAGACTGACGTGAGAAATAATACGGTTTCAAACAGACTCATGCGTTTTGTCTTTTCCAAACCCTAAATAAACATCTGCTTGCATGGACAAAAACACCTTAAATCAAAATTACCACTTTTCCACCGAAATGCAGGTGAGAGCGTAAATGCACGGGCACAAGTGCCGGCGCCCAGGACCAACCGATCATGGTAGCCGAGCTCTATCTCTTGGGTAAATTAAAGGAAATATGTGTTTTGAAGGCACCCTGAAGGTGTATGCCTGACAATTGGCATACACAGGGAGTGCGTGAATGTTTCGGACGTGGGTCAGGGGGAGGGTAGCGCGCGGGGTTGATGCCTGCTGACCGCCATCTAAAAATATCTTCGGAACAGTAGCGGAATCTTCAGAAAAACAGTAAAGCCTGTTGGAAAGAGAAAAGATAGGGCGGTTTCAAGACGATTTTAATCCTGATGAAATTGCGTTTGAAATAAGTAATCCTTTGTGTGAAGGGTAAAAACCCGCTTGCCATCTACCCCTAGCCGATCCGAAACCCATCCGAAATATTTCACGAACGGGGAAACATTCAGATTGCAGCTGGGTAGAAAACGCAACAGTAGGAACATTCCCGTTGCATGCTGCTAACCATTCATCAAAAGCCGCGCACTTCAGAGGATAATAGTGTCCTGATGTTAGACCGCCAGGACGTTGGCAAGGCTTCAACAACCGCGCCCGCAAATGAGTTTTCCCAAGTGAAGTATAGAATGACCATACTGCCGCCTGGTTATCCATTTTTTCATTTGCTCCGCATTTTTTGTATTTTTCATGTTTCGCTTTGTTGTGTCGCGAATGTTTTTCATGATTTCCCCGTCACCATTCATTGAGTGCATATCTGGGGGCTGACACGCTGGACGCTTGGGGTGGGGGCTAGGTTGTCAGTTAGAGAGCTATAGAGTTTACGATCTCTAATTTTCGATATTCTTTCCGATTTAAGCGGGCCCAGACAGGGCAATAGGATCAAGCAGAGATCAAGATACATACCGATGCTATCGTATGGATTTGAGTCATTTACCTGCCCTCTCTGAACATATTACCCATGCGGCAATTCAAAGTTTTGCCCAGAATCGCAATTTGGCCAGACGAGCGTTTTTTCGTCGAAGGATGTGATATTCGTGTTCAGGGGTCGAAATCTCCCATGAACGAATTTCTCGCTAAAACTTTGAATTGTCGGATGGGTAATATGTTCAGAGAGGGCAGATATGACCAAATCCATACTAGATCGAGTACGTCGTATACTTGATGTAC